TTTAAGAAATCATTTTCTACCTTAAGATAAGCCATTCTCCTGAGGTTCAGAAGTTTTAAGATTTTGCTGCTTCTTGTACTTAAGCCTTTAATCTACGTGAATTAAGTTTTATGTGTAGCATGAAATGCATCTCACATGCTGTAAGACAGTGATATAATTTTCATTGTCCCATGTGAATAACCAATTGCCTTGGCAACACTTATTCAATAATTTTTCCATGTATGATCTGCATGTCCATATATGTCTACCCCTGTGTCAATTATATAGTGTTATAAATGCTTTGGGTTTCTTAATTTTCTTGCTATCTTATATGGGTATTCACATACTCATAGTTTTTAATCCATAAATTTATACTGACTACTCTTGATCTTTGCACTTCCATAAGGATTTTGCAGTTAGCTTGATAATTGAAAAAGGATGTTAGAATTTTTTTTGGAATTGCATTGAATTTAACAAATATTTTGAAGACAAATGTAATCTTTCATATACTCAATATTCTCATCAATGAACATGGTATATCTCTCCATTTATTCTTATGTAACTTTTGTCTTTCAACAGTCCTTTGTAAATTTTTTAAAAGTTCTCATATATCTTTACTTTTGAGATTTATTCCTAGGCACCTTATTTTTTGTTGTTGCCATTTAAATAGTGTTTTCTATTACATTTTCAGCCTGCTTATTCTTGGCCTATAATGAGTTTTAGTATATTGATTTGCATCTAGCAAAATTGCTGAACATTCTTACTAGGTATACTAGTTTGTTTTAAATTGTATATGTAATCAGTAATATCACTTTAAAATAAGAACAATTTTGTGTCTTCATTTCTCTTTTTTAATACTTCCCACTTTTTTCTTCTACTATTGAATTCTCTAGGAGGTCCAGCACAATGTGTAAAAGTAATGATATAATCCTATAACTATAATCCATGTGTATTTGACCAAGTTTAATAGGAATATTTCTTAAATTTTATAATTAATTTTGATCATTATGTAGGCTTTTGGTGCATAATTTTTCTTGATTTATGGATATTTTATTCTATTCCTGGATTATATGGATTTTTATCTTTAATGAATATGGAATCATTTCTTCTGGATTTATTTTGATAATCATATTTTTCTTATTTAATTTGCTAATATAGAGAATTACATTATTAGATTTTCTGATATTACTATTTCTCCCTAACACTATAATGGCAATTTTATGAATTCAGAGGGGCACAAGGAAGAGAAGAAAGTCATTAAAGGCGCTATTATCAGGCAGGTAATTGCTGTGGGCAAACTACACCCGACCTCACTGAGGAATTCAGAGAGACCAGCATAGAACAAGCCTCAAAGTTATCCCAACCAAGGAGCGAGGGAGTTATCCCAACCAAGGGGCAAGGGCCTTGTAGTATTTAGCCTCAATTTCCATCTGCCATTGGCTGAGGGTAGCTCCCATTGCTATTAAGTCCCTGGCATATGATCCACATGACCCACACACAGGCCTCAAGTGGATAGTTGTAGGTGTTTTCTCTGAGCAGGATCATTGCTTTTCAGCTGCAGGGAATGATGGTCACTTTAAATCAGGGTTTCTCAACCTTAGAAGTATTGACACTTTGTGCTGGATAATTCTTTGTTGTAGAGTGCTATCCTGTGCCCTGTAGGATGTGTAGCAGCATCCCTAACTTTTCTTACTTCAGTGCATTGAAGGCAGTTAACAGCAATCAACCAATTTCATGAGATGTATGATTACCACTGTCTTCATAGCTTTCAAATGCAAGTACTAGAGCTGCTACATAATCAAATATATACTCTTTGCCCTATACCTTCTCAAATCTCCACATATAAGATTTTTTGCATTATGAGACTAAAGCACTCCAAGGATTATCACTACTCCACTTACTACTAGCAGTATGGTCCTTGTTACTATCTAACCAGTAATTGATCCAATTTCAGAATTCATTCTTAGAATCTGCTTCTTAAAACCACTGTCATGTCCAACTATCTTAGTTTGGGTTTCCCCAGCTTTAGATTCTGAGATAAGAATTTGAGTGAAAGTAGTTTCTGTGGAAGGTGATCCCAGAACCTGGAAACCCTGGTAGAGGAATGAAAAAGTGAGACAGGGAAGACAATGAACCAGTAAATTATTTATTATGGAGCAGCTAACTCATGAATTATCTTGTGCTCAATCCATCTGGGTAACTAGGCCCCACAGTTAACTGCTCAAGGTTAAAGGTGGCTGTGGTATTTATCCTCTAACTACCGCTGTCCTAGGCTAATGGGAGACATTAACTCTCTGGCGCTCCAGGCCTGCCCCATTCACAGGCTGAGAGAAAGCCCTCAATGGAGAGCTGCTGATGCTTCATTCAGGAATGTACTGAAATGGTGAGTGCAAAATGGACATGGGCAAGGCACTGACAGCATCGGCTACTCTCCTCCACTGTCATTGGACCTCTCTTTCTAATGCATAAATCTGATCATGTCATAGCTCTGATTAAAAAATGTTAAATGCTTTCCAAAGTCTTATAAGAAAAATAAATCCAAATACTAAAATAAAGTGAAGCATAGGAGACTCTTTAAAATCATTTCCAAAAACGTAATAAGATATATTCTAGATATGTCCTTTTTCTCTTTGCTATTCACTTTATTGTGTGACTTTTTATTTAGCTTTTATTTTCTATTTTTATTATCTAGCAAACTTAAGTTCTTTTCAATGGAGAGAGTTAGAGAAGAACTCCATATAACGAGACTAATACAAGATGTGCTATTTTCTGTCAGAGATTTTGTAGGTCCAGTAGACGCCCTACCCTCTTCTCTAATGATTACAAGTGATCTGTGTGTATAATTCAAAAAGTTAGAACTTTTCAGGAGTATCAAGTATACTATACTCAAATACAGATCTGTACTCAAATACAGATCTAATTTTTGATGTATCTTATATTATTTCTTTTCTATAAATTATTTCAATAAAACCATTCTCAGTTTGTATAAATGGGAATCATTGCTTTCAGTTCCTCAGAAGCTGGGGGTGGGGTGGGATGGGGAGTATATTCAATGAACTCCTCTCCCCACCCTCACTTACTTCCTCAAATCAGTTTATATGCCTTGGTGTGTGAGTTGCTCTTTTAGGTGGCTCAAAATAGTACTTCTCCTAATGCCTTTTTCTACTGGTAATAGGCACTACTGAAGTTGCTTTGGCGATGAGGTTGTTTCTCAGATTCTCCCATAGCACATAAAGTCCTGCTAGCGAGTTATATGATTAAGGATGCTGAGACCAGGCTTAATGAGTGGGGTAATGAGTAGACCTCATATTGTCAAGATTCATTCACTGCCTTGTTTTGTGGGGCTGAGTTTCAAACTACTTCTTACTTTCATCTGTGGTTTTGACCACTGTGAAAAATCAACACACTTAAGTCCCTTTGGGGAAGTTACTTTGTCAACCGACTAATGAGCTTCTTGTTATATATTCTTTTGCATATTACTTCAATTTTGGATTTCTGAATGGAAGTTTTCCAATAATATTGTACACTCGAATAACGTGAAAATATTCCAAATCATTTATATTTTCTTTCATGTCTACATTTTAAAAACTACCGCATTTCAATTTATATTGGGTAGGGTACAAATGAATTGAATTGAAAGTATAGGAGAGAAATATACCAAAAGTGATACTAAATGTTTAGGATGGAGAATGTATTGGAAACCACCCCATGGGCCTCCTAATTCTTTTCTTCAAAAGCCAACCCAAACATTCACTTTTATGATTTTCTCTTTATTGTTGCTCTATTACAAACCACAGCACCTTGCATTTTACCTCTTTTATTTGCTCTAAAATAAAATCAATATACACAGTAAAAAGGAACTTCTTGTATGGTTCTTTTATTGACAATTTTCTAAGGATTTTACAAGTGTATACCATCTGTTTCTTTAAATATAACTATATATCTCAGTATAAGAAAGCATGTGGAAGATAAGTTATTATTAAAAACCCTTCATAAATATTTTGGTAATAGTATATTGAAAAATGCTTTTGTTTTTTCTTTTGGAAAGACATTGTTAAAGACTTAATTCAGGGTTTTATGGTGTGGAAATAAATACATGTTTGTGTCTACGTAATCTAATTATGTTTTGGAAAGGAATTTGAAAATAAAAAAATACTTGAGATATAACACTTTAAAAACATGAGTATATAAATGATCTTTTTAAAAGTGCAAAGAATATGTAATGGCAAGTTTGAATGTTATGGCCTGGAAAGAGGAATTAAAAGATGGACAGGCCATCATTGTGTTAAGGTTAAATTGTTTGAAAACAAACTCCCCATGGTCTACAGAAATCTGTTTTGTTCCTGATTATTAAAATTCTCTCAGTCAGCAACCAAACATTTAAAACTTGATTTTTTTCAGCCCTCTCTCTTTAGCAGCAAGAGAAGAGCTAGAGTGTGGGAATAAAACTGCAAATAATACTAATACCCCCATCCTCATGGGACAGTGTGGAGGTGAACAGAGTGTTCCAGGCTGAGGGACAGCATATGCAAAGGCCTAAGGAGAAGGGAAAACATGGCTTATTTGAGCAACTGAAGCTATCATGACGATGTATGTTTGTGGATGAGCACTGAAAGAAAATGAGACTAAATAGTAAGCATACAAGAAGATCATGAGAGGCTTTGCATGCTGTATGAAGAGGTTTAAATTTTATCTTAAAGGTAACAGGAAACCAATAAATATGTACAGCTTTTATATATTAATTAAACTTCAATAAAGTAGTTTAAAAAAGAAGAATGGGGAATGTTGAAAGAACACAGTAGCCAACCTTAAAGAGCTCCTAATAGTTAAAGTTGGAATATTTTGTGCAAAACAAAGAAAAAGAAGGGCTTCCCTGGTGGCGCAGTGGTTGAGAGTCCACCCGCCGATGCAGGGGACATGGGTTCGTGCCCAGGTCCGGGAAGATCCCACATGCCGCGAAGTGGCTGGGCCCGTGAGCCATGGCCGCTGAGCCTGCGCGTCCGGAGCCTGTGCTCCCCAACGGGAGAGGCCACAACAGTGAGAGGCCTGCGTACCGAAAAAAGAAAAAAAAAAAAGAAAAAGAAAAAAAGATAGTATTGGATTTAAACCCATAGAATAAAATGAATATCCATAAGTCCATCCATATAGGTATAAATAAATCACCAAATAAATAGAGAAAAAGGAATTGTTCTTTATGAGAGCAGAATTCCAGCTGATACATGTAGAAAGAAAGAGGGAAATAGAAAATTCACTATTAAGCACACACTGTGGTAACAATTAATGTAGATCAGATCCACTGATGGATACTAAAAATAGTGAAAGTTTGACGAGAAACACAATTTGTGTAGTCTCAGATTATCTCCTCAAAAACTATTAATTAACCACACAGAGAGATAGTAACTTTACAGTGGAAATACCTGAAAATAACTACCTTAACCAAATAACCATGAGTAACATAACCAATAATAAGGCATGGTGACATAATGAAGCCCTTGAGATGACACACAAAGAAGGGCACAAGATTATATCTGTGGTATTCTTGCCAAAAATGTATGACCTCATTCAAATCATAAGAAAACATCAGGCAAACCCAAACTGAGGGCCATCTGCAAAGTAACCAGTACATATCAATAGTACCAAGATCATAAAAGACAAAGACTCAGAAACTATCAGAGATTGGAGGAGACTAAGGACACACAACAACTAAATACAATGTGGAATAGGACATTGGATCCTGGAACAGAAAAATGGGAATTAGTGGAAAAATTGGTGAAATTTGAATAAGATTTATAGTTCAATGAATGGTATTGCACCAATATTAATGTATTGATTTTAATTATTGTTACGTAAAATGTTAACTTTAGGAGAAGCTGGATGAGGGATATGTGGGAATTCTCTTTACTGTTTTTACAAATTTTTGTAAGTATATAATTAGCTCAACATTAACAATTTAAAAAATATAATTGACTCTTCATGGTAGGAAAGGAAGCAGAGATGACCATTGCCTGAAACATAGTGACCTCAATAAATAATTGTGAAATGTATGAATAAATAAAATAATGAAAGACAATTTCCCTAAATCCCAAAGTTCTACCTCAGGTGAGCAGTGACCCAAAATTCTGTAATAAAAGGGATCTGTTTCCTAATCATTTATTTCAGAACAGAAAATCTTAAGTCAAACATCAAATTTAAAAATGTATTAAATCTGAAGTTGTTAGTTCTCTTAGAACAAGCAAAGTACACAGAACAAATGGAACAGCAGCTTTTATGTTGGAGAAAGACAATACCATTTTATCAAGTAGGCCTCAAACAGAAAAACAACAACAGCAAAAACCAGAATGAACAAATGGAGCAGTGATATGTTTAATCCCTGAGATAAGATAAATTAGAAAAAGTAATTTTAATACCTGTACTTAAATAGTTCATGGAAACACAGATATTGAGATCCAAAAATAAGTGCAAGTGCCAACCTAAAACACCCAGTAGAAAGAAAAGAAACTGAGAATTTTGACATCTATTGTGTTTTATTAGCACAGTGAGAAGAAGGAAAATGAGAACAATAAAAAAAAAAACCCAAAAAGGACATTTAAGACCTCGAGTTAAGGCTGCTTATGGAGGTCTGAAATTATGACTATATAGAACTGAGCTTCCCAGTGTGTCTGCCACAAGCCTTATGTGGTTATTTTGCACTTGAAATCTAGCTAGTCCAAACTCAGTCATGTTGTAAGTGTAAAATGTATACTATATGTTGAAGATCTACTATGAAGGAAAGAATGCGAATTATCTTATGAAATTTTTATATTGATTACATGTGGAATGATAATATTCTAGAGATATTGGGTTAATAAAATTAGTAATTAATTTTACATAATTTTTTACTTTTTGAAATGTGACTAGGAAATTTTAAATTACTTTTGTGGTACACATTTTATTTATGCTTGCATTATATTTCTATTGGATAGCACTTATGCAGAAGATGAAAGAAGGTGAGTAGGGAAGCAGTATTTTCAGCAGCATTGAGCCTTATCTGTAAAACTCTAGCATTTCTTTCTAATATTTATTTAATATTTATTCTTACACTCATACTTGCTTTTAAATTTCCACTGGTACCACCTTTTCACTTCAAAACTGAAGTATTCATCAGCTATCTATTAAGCCCTTAATTTCAAGAGATAATGTTCTGGAGAAATATGATGAAGCTATTGCTAAAACGTCTGATTCTGTAGCCTGCCAATCCTTCAGGCCTGAGACTTGACTTCTAGAGACAGATCTCATGTGGCGTATTTAAATTCATCCCTTTCAGTGTCCAGCATAGAATTATGTTTCAGTGTCTCTTAAAAGATTCTGTCACTTTTGCTAGGCTAGCCGAGTTTCTGGGGGGTACAGGACAACAGGAACTCAAGGGAAAAAATAACTTCATTCCTTTTTATCTTTATACCCTATCTACCTTTCTGTTCTCAAATCCTAATGAGACAGAGAACATACCCATCTCAAAGGCTCTCTTTTATTTTTCTCCATTAAAATCCAGACCACAGGCAGTCCTGATTAATCAACTCTCTTTTGTTGCTTTTCACTTGACACTGCCTGGTCCTTCCATGACAAGGGCCTTATAAGCAAAATAAATTTAAACTTAACAGTTCATACTTAACACATCTCATTTGAGTCCTATATTAGTTATTATTAAATTCTGTGGGCTCATTACTCTTGTACTCTGATCTAAATCATTGAGGATCCAAAAGAGCTTTTATTAATATGGATTATAACTATCTATAGTTACCATTTAGAAATTAAAATGGAGAAATTTTAAAAACACTTATCAATTGATATAAAATGACAATAATAAACCCCTTAAATTTTTACAACCCTTTCATGAAAAATTATATCTATATTTTTAAAACAAAAATTAGCGAGAAGAGTGTTTTTCAAAATCTCTAAGTCTGGCTTAATAGAAGACAATGGGCCTATCGTATCTGCTTCTGCATTTAAGCTGCTGCAATGTTTAGTTTGGGCTGATGCATGTGAATAAAATCTGGCTTCATACAAGTATAAAGTTTGAAAGGGGAGGAGTATTTTAATAGTCTTTTCAAATAATTATATGTATACTTCTTCAACACTACACCCAAATAGGCAAGTGGCAGTTTCTTAAAGGTTAGATGTGATGTGAAATTTGAAACCATTATCAATGCTCTTTTTGTTCTTTGCTACATTATAATCTTGCATGCTAGATCTTTCGACTTCACAGTCTCCCTTTAAAGAGTATCGTGGATTCCACAGACCATACTTAGAGAACTGCTTTCCTGGACATCCTCAGTTCCTTTCTCCCTGAATGACACCCCTTTTATGCCTAGGTTTTCAATGTAAAGGACATTTCCCTAAGTATAGACATAGCATAGAAAGATCTTGGTCAGAAGCAGACATTTTTTTTATCTTATCGCTTCTCCCATAAAAATCTTCCTTCTCAAAGCAGTAGGTCTCCTGGTGACCCTTTTGAAAATTTATTTATGTTAGAGAATCATTTCTATGACATAGATCAAGGAGTGGAATGAGTAAGTGGTCAAGATTATAAATATTAGTGTAAGTGGTCAATGAATAATTACTAAATATGCAAATTTGATTTCACACATTTGTAGTTTTCACTAACTAATTCCCTATCTCTTTTTTTTTTTTTTTTTGCGGTACGCGGGCCTCTCACTGTTGTGGCCTCTCCCACTGGGGAGCACAGGCTCCGGACGCGCAGGCTCAGCGGCCATGGCTCACGGGCCCAGCCGCTCCGCGGCATGTGGGATCTTCCCGGACCGGGGCACGAACCCGTGTCCCCTGCATCGGCAGGCGGACTCTCAACCACTGCGCCACTAGGGAAGCCCCCCTAATTCCCTATCTCTTGATTATAGATGTTAGCAAGTGAAAATATTGACTTAATTAGGTTTCCTGGTATGAAAATTAATGAGTTAAAAATTCAGGCATTCACAAGAAATTCAAGTACAAGAGGATTTTACTTACTGATGAATTTTAATAAAGTTAGATGACCATAACTTATTTATACATAAGTCCCTTCCCATACCTAGAATTGATTTATAGGTAGTCTTCTATCAAAATGAGTTCATTCATAAATGAACTCCTTTAATGACATCATGAATCTCTAATTTATGAATTTACTCTTATCTATTGTGTATCTTTAATATTGACATACAAATCTTGCTTTTAATTATTTTACTGTTTTATAATTATGCAGTAATCCTAACATTTACAAGTTAACATTCTTTAGCCACATTTTCTAGGGGATGGAGGAGTACAGATCCAACACTTTCTTCTATCTGGCCGTGGTGCCAGGCATGACTCTTGTGAATTTTTTCTTTGATTTGGCAAAGATTTATGCATGGTCCACTCTGACCCTGCTATGGGCTGGCCATACCAAGAGATACATCTCCTTTGGGCTATCATATTTGAGCCATTCTGTTAACTCCCTCACCAGGCTTTTCTAATTGTAGTTGGCTTCCTTTGGCTTTTTTCCACAGGGAGAGAGTGTGCTGGTCTGGCTGACCTGACTCTCCAATCAAGTTGACAGTTGTGTTTCTTATTGTAAATTAATAGATTAGCATTCAGGTTTACCCTGAAATATCCTGGGAGTTGCTAAGCGTGGGCCAACATCCCTAAGTCTGATCAACACTAAAGCACTGAAAACACTGAGTTTCTAGACCTGAATCACAATAAATGCATTAAGGAATTTCCACTGGGTGAGAGCCCTTAGCAGCCAGTTCTCTCTGTTAATACACTTATATGTCAGAATGTCATTTATTACTTTTCACATATGTTTGAGATGATCTCCATAAGTGAGATATAATAGATGGCTTGAGTTCACTCTTATGTAGAAAAAAATCACTATTTCCTTATAATGGATAGTGTTTTTCTTTAGATAAAGCTGCTTTGAATAGGCTTAATGTATCTTCAATATAACAAGGAAGCAGACTTAATTGCTATTCCCCAGGAAGGATTTCAACAAAACTCATACTCAATGCATTATGATTTTTTAAAAGTTTTTTTCTTTCTGTATTATTGCACTGGCTGACTTGAGATAAATTTTAAAATTTTGTCTTGAGAAACCTGCAGTAATTATTTGTGCTGAGATAAAATATAATCAGGTTTTCTAGAAGTGGGGATAATCCAAGAAGTAAATAGGAGATATTTCCTTTTTCAAACCATCACCACTAAAGACTTAGTATTACTACTAGATAGCATTTTGCAGTGCACAAATGCTTGTAACAAATATAGCGCCAGATTTCTCTTAATACAGCCTGACAGACGAAGAGAGCAGATATTATTTCCATTCTAGAGGTAAGGAAACAGAGGCCCAGAGTAGTTCCATGACTTTTCCAAGTTCACATAGCTAGTAAGATCCAGGTGGAACTGTGTCTATGTTTATGAAGAAGCCACAGAACAGCAATTCAAATACGTTATAAATTGCTGCTACGTAGTAATGAGTTAAAATAATGTATAATCAAATTACTCTTACCATACATACTTTGATTTATTAATGGAGAAGTATTAGGTGAATTGTCACTAGAATCTTGTTTTGCTGAATGTGTGGCAATTTTTGTGTACTGTTTCATCTAGATCTCCCAGAATTCTTTCCAACAAAGTGGAGATGCCTTGTTGCTTCATCAGAATGGATACATTAAGGCACAATCAAATGCTTTGGATGCATAGAGCATGCAACTTTCTGAACATTACTAGGAGATGGTAATAATACTACATAATATTACAGGTTCTTCCCCTCTCCCCCTACACACACCAATAGGAATTCAGATTAATTCCTTTTCACATGACCCCTATCAAACAGGGGAGAAAGTATGGTACATTTATAATGGCTTACACTGTGTTATCAAATAAGTTTCTGATTGGAAAGAATTTCTGCTTTGACAAGCATCAGTGGAAACCAGATCCTTCCCTTACAACATTGTGTGACTGATGAGTGGAAGAATTTCCCACAGCCCAGCTCCTGGTTTAAGACATTTCAAACCTTCTTTCTCCTCCCCTATCCACAAACTTTCAATCCTAAGCTCCTTAGAGCATGTTAATGTCAAAGTACTACTTCTGGTCCTGCATATCCCTGTCACAGCTGCACTGGGTCAGACAGAATGGGGAACTAGAGGAGTTTTCCTGGAAGCCATTGCTATATGCATGGCTAGAAATAACTTTTCTTGAACATGGCTAAAAATCACATAAATGTATCCCAAAGTAAATCTTTCCCAACTCACCTTCACCCTAGTCATATCCCCAAAGTTTTTTGGCCATACTATTGGAATTGACAGAAGGAAAATGTGACAGAAGACATGTCACAATGGAAACAAACAGTGACTACAAAAAATAATCTTAATTTGCAAATTTTACAAAGCACATGATTGTATGGACACATTGTTCAAGGCCCTTGAAAAAGTCACCAGCAAGTGCAGGGCCTTGAAGTTAGAGACTCCTCAGCCTCATGGAAAATCTGCTTCTGCCAGGTGCCCATATCTGTCCTTCTTGCACTGTCAATGTGTAATATGAATATGACTATATTTTTCAGTCTATCTTATATTTCCCCTTGACCTAAAAGTTTCTTTATACCAATGTATTGGCTCTTTAAGTCCACAGAATCCAATAATTAATTAATCATAAGGTTTAATATACATGCATTCTGAAACATACATGTTTCAGAAATCAGGTATGGCTGGATATCCTTAGGCTGGGAGGGCTCTCTCTAAGCTTCAGAGCCCTCCCAGCCTAAGGATATCCAGCCGTACCAGATTTCTGAAACACAGTGATTAGTGTCTGTTCCAAATGTGTTTCCCTCAGTCCAATGTATCGCCTGCATGTTGCATTTTAAAAGTTCAGGAGTGAGTGAAAATCTATTCCACTACTTCAGAAAAGCCCAAAGGTTGCCCAACTTTCAACCAGCCTCCAGTCTCTGTCACCAACATTCAACTGAACTGTCCTTGCTGAATTTTCTGGTTTCCAGATGAGCAGGCCCTGAGCATACTTCTGCACAATCTCAGTCATCTGTTTATTCACCACGGGTCTAAGTGTAACACACTGTAAATGTCTTTGGCTTGACTTTCTGGACTAGCTTACTTTGGTGCCTCTGACTATGAAAGATTGGCTTCAAGCATGTTCCTCAGGCAGGGCATCATTGCTCCCGTTATACCAGAAATACCTCTGAGTAGCCAGAGGCCATCATAAGAGGATGGATTAAAATACTGAGAAATTCATGTCAGTTGCCCCAGCCACACTAACTGTTGGTGTGTGTGTAGATTTGTTTTTGTGTATAGATGTGATTTCTTAAATATCTCTTATTTTCACACCTTAAGAGATGGGGAAAGAGTGCAGATGTCAACCGTACTTTTGGCAGAGAAGTGAAAATCTTGTACTGGTGACTGCTGATAGTGAAATTGTGTTGGTAGCTATATTGACATACCCTGAAATATTTTTTAAAAATAGTTGGATCCATAGGAACTAAATCTTTTGATTTCCTGACCTTAGACAAGTGAACCAATAGGAAATAAGCCCCTACTTCTGATGTAGTAGCAGTGAGAGGAGACAGGTCAGTGAAGAGCAATCCCAGTGGAGGAAGATTATTTTAGGAGGATTGAGTCCTGTTCACTGACTAGAAATACTGCAGTGATACTGCAGATCAAGCTTTGAGACTTCCAAAAGTTTTCAGAGAATGTAACCCAAGTGGGAGCTCTAAGTCGACAAGCCATGGGAAAAGAGAATAACATGTACACAACACCCTCAATAAATAGATCTGTTGCAAGACCCTGACATTTAGGACTCAGTATTCATGGTCCTTATGGATAGACCAAGGAATACTGGGATATACTGCAGTTTTGCCCCTCTCCTTCCTGTACACATGTAACCACATTCTCCATCACATTACTTTAACTTTATTCCTGTAACAAAACTAAATTAGCAATCATTCTTCCATGTAAAAGTAGAAGACACAACACTTACCTTTTGACTTAGAACAGGTTGGAGTTGAGCTTATATTAATCCCATCATGATAGATAAGTTACATTTTATCTCCACGTGGTCTCTTGCAGCAGGGTGGTCGTACTTCTCACATGGAAGCTCAGGGCTCCAAGCTGAAAATAGCAGAAACAGCCATAAAGCGATAAAATTGCCTTTTTAGCATTTTGGTCTTTCCCAGTGTCCCAGGAGAAGCTAACTGTGGTGGCCAAGAAACGTAGAAATCTAAGCATTGGAGAAATACTTGTTTATATGATAACTATCGAACCCTCTACATTAACCTCAGAGGTCACAGCCACAACCACATCCTCTTAGCTGGAGTACTTAAAGATACTTACATGATAAGGGGATATTGAGAGACATACAGAAAAGGTGGCAATATGGAGAAAGGGAATTGTGTTTCTTTCCTGATCTGCTTATCTATTGTTACGTAACAAATCATTACAAAACTAGTGACTTGCTAGAACAATTTATTATTATCTCTTAAAATATTATAGGTCAAAAACTGAGGTCTTGGCTTCTCGGGGCTTCAAGAGGATAGAAGTGGTAGCTGCTAGTCCTCCGAAAGGTTAGGACTGAATGTTTGTGTCCCCCCAAAATTGATATGTTGAAGCCACAATCCCCAAAGTAATGATATTTGTAAGTGGGACTTTGAGGAAGTAATTAGGGTTAGATTAGGTCATAAAGGTGGAGTCCTTATGATGAAATTAATACCCTTAAAAAGAGGAAGAGACACAAGAATTTTCTCTGTCCCTGCCATGTGAGAATACAGTGAAAAGGTGGCTGTCTACAAGCCAGGAGGAGGGTCCTACCCAAGAACTGAATCTGCCGACACCTTGATTTTAGACTTCCCAGACTTTAGAACTGGGAAACAAATTGAGAAACAAAATGTTTGTTGTTTAAGCCACCCTGGGCATAATATTACTTCTTCCATATTCTGTTGGTCAAAGTAGTCACAGGCCAGCCCAGATTTAAGGGGAGGAAATATAGACTCAACTTCTCCTTGGAAGTACAACCAAAAAATTTGTGTTCATCTTTAATTTACCACACCTCTCTTTGGTAGAGATTGCTGAAGCCCTAAAGTTAGCCCTAGCACTTGGAGTCATGATGTCAGAATCCTTCACAAAGTCAGCATTCTTCAGGATTGCACTCTCACCAAAGACTTCAGAGCTCTAGCACTGATTATAAAAGCCTTAGGTATACCCTGATTAAACATGAACTGCACCAAACCCAAGCAGCTATACACAAAGGCATTGTTCTATTCGTCCTGAGGGGAGTTGAACTTTGGTAGAGGAAAGTGCTTAATTATGCAGCTTTTTCCTGGGAACATTTGGAGGCAAAGTTTAAATCTTCCCATTTATAAAAATATGTGGGAGAAACTATAAAGGATCCAGGGAAGATCAACTGAAAAGATTAAAGGATAGGAAATTACTTTTCTGAACAAAAATGAAGGAGTTCAGGCTATTGAGCCATAACAAAGGAAACTATCCAAGCTTAATAGATGTCTTGAAGTGTAGAAGAGGATATGCTCAGAAGGAAATTAAGCAGTTGCTCTGCTTAGAAAATGCTACAGCAAGAGGAAATGACCCAACAAAATAGATGAAACAGGAGTAGGATCTTTCTTTCTATGAGAGAATCAAAGAGCTTGAAGGCAGATGTTTTAAAAAGTAAAAGAGGCTTTACTGGTTTTTGGAGTTAATGTATTATTATTGAACTCTACTGCTTTAAATTAATGGGAAAAATAAACTAAGTAGCAAGATGAAAGATGAGGGAGGAAAATCATACAAATGTGAAGTGGCCCCTGACATTAGGTTGCTGACAGTCTATTTGGGAAGACAACAAGTGTGTGTTAAATGAATAATTAAAGGTAAGAGAGAAAATTTATAGACATAGATGAGCTCCCACCTGGGAAGAGTGGCCCTGATTGGCCTGCCCCAGGCCCATATTTATTTTACCCCTATGGAATATTCATTCTGTCTTCCTTTTGGTTGCTTCAGAGGCTTCCCTTGCCTTTCACTGTAGGAAGAGTTATGGAAAGGGGAAAAGGGGAGAGACTTTCTCCTGAATTCTTTACAAATGCTCTCCATTAATTCACTGCACTGCAAAACACCCATGGGCGAAACAGGAACTGCAGGGGGGAGGGGTTGTCAGTCATTCTAGCAGTAACGGAAAGAATTGATGAAATAGAATTCATATTTTATGGCAAGAAGAGAAAAACTGAAACAAAATTTTTCTTTGCCTGCTTCGGCCTCCTTCCTCCCCTTTAGTATTATTTAGTTTGTATTGTGCATCTGCATTAACCAGACCTCCTTAGCAGATAACCTTCCTTCTTAATCTTGTAAGGGGCCACAATGACCCACAGCCCAGTACTCACTTTGTACATGTAGATCTGGATTGTGTAAACCATCAATAATACGTCATTTAGCATATAACCCTTTCTCTCAAAAACTTACATAACTGTGCTTTGACCTGTAATGGGCTGAACAGTCCTCAGAGCTTACTGAAAGATGATCTCCCAGGTTATAATCCTTAGGTTGGCTGGAATAAAATTTTCCATTTCTTTCTTAGATTGACTACTGATTAATTTTTTCATCAATAGAATCAATAGAAAGAAATAGGGATAGAAAAAGCCAACACGTATCCCTCCTCCCAACCTAAATTGGTTGCATCTTCACAAACCAAGGAGCTTCAAACCTCTCCTCAATCAATAGCAATCTTTTCTCACTCTTAGCGCACGCTAGTACACATCCTGTTTCTCACTTTTTAGATCACAGAAGTGTCAACCTACTTTTCCGTTACTTCTATCTTAGCCCCTCCCCTATGGGATACCCTTGAACCACCACCCAAAAACTTGTGGTAGGGAAATCATAACATTTTTAGAGGTAGGGAGGAGAACAAAGCAGATTCTCTGTTTCTACTACCAAGCTTCTGGAGGTGCAGTAGGAGGTATGATGGAAGGGGAAGTTCTTTACCAGGTTTCCCACAGAAATAACAGAAGCTACACGTTATTTAGTGGTTTCTGTGTACAAAGAGCTTTATATATAATTAAGATTGTGAACCACAAGAAAATTGCCAATTTTGTAGGTTTCCAAAAGTTGAATCTTGACAATTTTCATTTGGTTCAACCTACAAATATTATATAATGCTTTAATCCTTATACTAACTCTCAGAAGAGGATATTATTAACATTTGTACTTAACACATTTAAGAAAACTGAGGCCATGAGAGTTTAAATAACCTGATGAATATCACACAGATAGTAAGAAAAGGAGCCACCATATTATCAGAATTTTATTCCATTCCCAAACCCCATCTACTATCCCCATTATACCGTGTTCCGTTGATACCCATTGCTATTTTAAGTCAGGTATGTTTTATTTTGCATACTTTTGTAAAAGCTTCCTCCTATCTTAAGCATAATTTCTATACTATTTTTAAATTAGAAAATCTTACTAGAGTTAAACATTTATTTCATTTATTTATTTTTAACATCTTTATTGGAGTATAATTGCTTTACAATTGTGTGTTAGCTTCTGCTTTATAACAAAGTGAATCAGCTATACATATACATATATCCCCATATCTCTTCCCTCTTGCATCTCCCTCCCTCCCACCCTCTCTATCCCACCTCTAGGGGGTCACAGAGCACCGAGGTGATGTCCCTGTGCTATGTGGCTGCTTCCCACTAGCTATCTGTTTTACATTTGGTAGTGTATATATGTCCATGCCTCTCTCTCACTTCGTGCCAGCTTACCCTTCCCCCTCCCCATGTCCTCAAGTCCATTCTCTAGTAAGTCCACGTATTTATTCCCATCCTGCCCCTAGGTTCTTCATAACCATTTTTTCTCTTTATTTTTACATTCCATATATATGTGTTACCATATGGCATTTTTTTCTCTTTCTGACTTACTTCACTCTGTATGATAGACTCTAGGTCCATCCACCTCACTACAAATAACTCAATTTCGTTTCTTTTTATGGCTGAGTAATATTCCATTGTATATATGTGTCACATCTTCTTTATCCATTCATCTGTTGAGGGACACTTAGGTTGCTTCCATGTCCTGGCTATTGTAAATAGAGCTGCAGTGAACATTGTGGTACATGATTCTTTTTGAATTATGGTTTTCTCAGGGTATATGCCTAGTAGTGGGATTGCTGGGTCGTATGGTAGTTCAATTTTTAGTATTTTAAGGAACCTCCATACTGTTCTCCGTAGTGGCTGTATCAATTTACATTCCCACCAACAGTGCAAGAGGGTTCCCTTTCTCCACACCCTCTCCAGCATTTATAATTTGTAGATTTTTTGACGATGGCCATTCTGACTGGTGTGAGGTGATACCTCATTGTAGTTTTGACTTGCATTTCTCTAATGATTAATGACGTTGAGCATTCTTTCATGTGTTTGTTGGCAATCTATATATCTTTAGAGAAATGTCGATCTAGGTCTTCTGCCCATTTTTGGACTGGGTTGTTTGTTTTTTTGATACTGAGCTGCATGAGCTGCTTGTAAATTTTGGAGATTAATCCTTTGTTACTTGCTTGTTTTGCAAGTATTCTTTCCCATTCTGAGGGTTGTCTTTTCGTCTTGTTTATGGTTTCCTTTGCTGTGCAAAAGCTTTTCAGTTTCATTAGGTCCCATTTGTTTATTTTTGTTTTTATTTCCATTTCTCTAGGAGGGGGGTCAAAAAGGATCTTGCTGTGATTTACATCATAGAGTGTTCTGCCTATGTTTTCCTCTAAGAGTTTTACAGTGTGTGGCCTTGTATTTAGGTCTTTAATCCATTTTGAGTTTATTTTTGTGTATGGTGTTAGGGAGTGTTCTAATTTCATTCTTTTACATGTAGCTGTCCAATTTTCTCACCACCATTTATTGAAAAGGCTGTCTTTTCTCCATTATATATTCTTGCCTCCTTTATCAAAAATAAGGTGACCATATGTGCATGGGTTTATCTCTGGACTTTCTATCCTGTTCCATTGATCTATATTTCTGTTTTTGTGCCAGTACCAGACCGTCTTGATTACTGTAGCATTGTAGTATAGTCTGAAGTCAGGGAGCCTTATTCCTCCAGCTCCGTTTTTCTTTCTCAAGATTGCTCTGGCTATTCAGGGTCTTTTGTGTTTCCATACAAATTGTGAAATTTTTTGTTCTAGTTCTGTGAAAAATGCCATTGGTAGTCTGATAGGGATTGCATTGAATCTGTAGATTGCTTTGGCTAGTATAGTCATTTTCACAATGTTGATTCTTCCAATCTAAGAACATGGTATATCTCTCTGTTTGCACCTGTTTGTATCATCTTTAATTTCTTTCATCAGTGTCTTATAGTCTTCTGCATACATGTATTTTGTCTCCTTAGGTAGGTTTATTGCTAGGTATTCTATTCTTTTGTTACAATGGTAAATGGGAGTGTTTCCTTAAT